ACACACACACACACACACACACAGGGATATCCTGCCTTTTTTTTTTTTTGATGCAGTGTCTCCCCTCCTGCCTTCTCTGGGGCAGCACATGCGTGCATGCAGCATGACATGGCTCCACGTAATAGCTGATAGACTCCCATGGCATCCTCTCCTGCCTGGAATTCTTTCCTCTCGGTCTCCTCCAGTGAGATCTGACCGCGCACATGCAGCTGAGTCGATGCTTTTAGCAGCAGCAGCAGCAGCAGCAGCAAAGCAACAAGATGATGCTTGTGGCTGCACGTTCAGTGCACAGGCCCACAGATGCATCGCACAAGTGTGGGTGTGCTCTGCAGATGGAGCCCGGTTGCTATATGTCTGATCGGGCGTGCGCGTGTGAGGCTTTTACACTGAAAATCTGTTGCACACATGCAAGAGTACATATACTGTCTGCCTTGGCTTTTCTTGTGTGTATGTGTTGTACAAAGAATGAACAGATGTACATCCGTGTCACACCCCAAGACATGTGCAGTGCTAGGTTCAGGGTTTGTTGCGAGTTTTAGATCTCTATTGTGCTGCGTTCAGGGTACTGTACAGATTTGATAGACAGTGGGCCTCATGCATTTTTTTTTGCGCTTTTCGAAGTACTAGAGTTTGTTATAGTGTTTGATTTCAACTCAAACCAGATTGTCTTTTAGGGTTTAGAGGGCATGATATACATTCTGTTTCATATTTATTATCATTCTTATCTACCCAAACTCTTCCTCACTGCCAGTATTTAGCTCATTTAAAAAAGAAAAATAATATAATTGAGTATCATATGTACATCTTAAGTAAAGAGGCAACAATGAAACACCAAAGTAGGGTTTACGTGTTGTACTACCTTGTCATTCGCGAGTACCTTCATCATTTCAAGCGTTAACCGTGGAAGGCATTTTATTTTGGTGTTCAGGGGCACTCTTACCCAGAAAACATCTTGTTTTCACAGGCCACAAATTCTTCATCCAATGCAAGGAAACATACGTGTTACATTTGGGGGATTTTAAAGAGAATGCATGAATATCCCATAAACAAATTTAGATTATTTTCAGTTGGATGTTTGGATTATTAAAGAAGTGCTATTAGTCCATTGATCCAAACCCTTGGCGTACATGCTTGCTCTTAGACGCTTTTGGATTTTCCCTGTAAAGTGCACAGCTGACCGCTCTGGAAAACCACATTTACTTTGTTGAAATTTTATCCTCAATTTCCCTTCTGCTGTAGTTCTTCATCCCCTTTTCTACATTTCTTTTGGTTTTGGTTGCAACAGATATTTAAGAGAAGGTTGCAGCGTGAGGCCCAATGGACACAAGCACACACTATAACACACTCATTCAGCACTATATATATATATATATATATACACATATATACAGCATTGCCTCTACATAACATTGCTGTTCACTGGGGAAAAAAGCATGCATCTTCATATTTTGGGGATTTAGAATGAAGCGATCAATGTCTGGGTTGAGAAAGTCCAACCTCTTAAAGGGACACCTCCAGTGTCCGAGTGTGGTATAGCATGATGTACTCCTCAGTAGTCAGTGTTTTACCTACAGTGGATGGAGTTTAGAGAAAAAGACAGGAGTAGCACGGGAGCAAAGCAATGCACTGCTGTGGACGGGGCCAGCAGCAATCTGATATTCTTTTTTTTTTTTTAAGGCGTCAAAAAGATGTTTCAAGTGTACGCCATATTTAGAATATTTTCCGCCCTTTTGTTGTCAGACAGCCATTTCCATCAGGGAGCTGAAGCCGTGGGCTATGCTTTCTTTAAAGCCACCAGACTCCTTTGAAAAAAGTAATTGAACACAGGAGCTGCTGCTCTACCGCTGCCATCGTTGGTTAGTTTGTTTTAAAACACCAAAGCCACACAACAACAGTGATTTCCCCAAACTTTTTCTACGAGGAGCCACTTATTCAAAATGACAAACCGCTGCGAACAAACTCGTAAACAGGCCTCATGTAAAAATCGTGAGAGGAGAGAATGTGTGCGTAAAAGAACGTTCCTGAGCATTTTTACTGCCAACTAGGTAAACCAGCCGTTTGGAAGAAATGTACATTTGGGAAATCACACTTTCTTTTTATGCATGTTTCTTCACAAATGAGACCAACTAAATGCATTTAGTTGGCTTAGTTGAGTAACAGGCTATCTCATTCTTTTCATTTCCTCTCCTCAGTTAAACAAACAGATGTACGCTAGCCTTTCATATTAGAAGCAATGTTATAAGTAGACTTAACAATAATACGGACATTCAGGCTCCCTCATGTGGCCCACAAGTGTTCTGCAGATATAATTGTTTAATAAAAGACTGTGGAAGAAATTCTGCAAATTCATTTGCAGACCCCAAAAATGTTTTCCTGCGTCCCACCCATGGGTCCCCAACCAGTCTTTGGGATTGACTGTTCTAAAGGGTTACTCCGGAGTCACTTAAACGGATATCGATACGTCTACAGCAGCACTATGTGAATGAGCACTATGAGGATAAGCACCTCATGCAACCCCAATCCGAACTGTCCCCTTTAAGAAAAATACACCATGATCTGGAAAATGTGTCACTGATCTGAAATACTGGGCGGATTTATTTAAAAGTCGGCATTTTGGAGATGCCGCAGTCCAAAGAAGGCGTCGATGAGAACCGAACGTTTTTCATAGCGAACATTACGACAAGAGAGGAGAGGCACAGGTGTAATTAATAACAATAACGACCCAGGCTCAGTTCAATGAAGCGTTCCGGCGAGTCAGCACACACACACAATACCAGGACCTCCCGTTAAGTGGAACGCGGCCATCATTATTGTCATTAAATACACCTGCCGTGGGAAAACAAAGGTATATTACCGCACTGTGTCGTGATACGCAGTGAGCCACATAATTTATCCTCATACAGGCTGTATAACAAAAATAATTTTTGTGCTGGAGAGCCGCACGATTAGAATGAGACAATTAGAATGAGACTCTTCAGTCTTGGCTCTGTTGGAGAACAAACAGCCACTCAGCAGAGTCATATAGCTTATATTCACTATTAAATAGACATACATGCAGCAATATCTCTATTTAAAGTTTATTTTTATTCTTTTGCCTCTGTATTTCTCACGTTGTCACTCGGCGGTGAGATTGTTAAAGGATTAGTTCACCTCAGGATACAACTACAGTACCTTCAGTGGCATCAGGCCACTGCTGCTGCCCCAATGGAGGACGGAGAATGGACTTTTGTTCCTGTTGCTGAGTCTTTCAGGTTCCAATTATGAGGGTTCATAGTGAGGTCTGTGGTTAATCCGGCGTAACAGGACATTGTTGTTGGAGAGTTGCCGTTTATCAGATTCAGATTGCACTGCAGCGACGTTTTGACCCACGCAAGCAATCTTCCTTCCAGTTGAATGGCAGAACTGTACATATTTGAAGAAATCACCTTTGGGCTTAGGGGGAAGAAGTTTCTTTCTGCTCAAATGATTTCATTCAGCTTATCGACTAATGGAAATAATGATGAAGGCTGCAGCTAACAAGTATTTCTATTATCAATTATCGTTGTTTTTTTGACTAATTGATTAATTGTTTGGTCCATAAAAGGTCATAAAATAGTAAAAAGTTAAAGACATACCAAAACCCAATTATATTTTGTTCACAACGATATAAAAAACAGAAAAGCAGAAAGAATTGAAAAGCTAAAACTAATGAATATATAATAATATAATAATATGAAAAACCCAGCAATTTAACCTAGGAGTTGCTGGTCTACCGCTGCCATGATTAGTTTGTTTGTTTTAAAACACAAAAGTCACACAACAGTGTTTTCCTAAACTTTTTCTTTGAGAACCGACTTATTCAAAATGAGAAACCATCGCGAACCAATTCTCAACATGCCTTATCAATAAATCGAGAGGGGAGTGAATTTGTGCGTAAAAGAACATGTTTTACTGCCATTTCCAACTTTCTGGTATCTAAAGTAAGTAAACAAGATATCTGGAAGAGATTTATACGTTTGAATCACAATTCATCTGCTGACGTTTCTTTTTGTCTCATTGATTAATCGCTTGGTCCATAAAAGGTCATTAAATAGTACAAAAAATATATAAAAATATGAAAAAATTTAAGCCAGCAGAAACAATTTAAAAGCTAAACCCAGACTCCTTTCAGAAAAAAACAGTGATTTAACACAGGAGTAGCTGGTCTACCGCTGCCATGGTTGGCCATACCTCGTTTGGCCATCCATGGCAACATCGTTTCGCTTTTTTGTTCGAAAAAATGATAATCAATGATTCAAAGTCAATCTACAGTAATCATGCATGGCACACTCGCTTTATCATTAACTCCTTCCTGACACAAATTCCAGTTTTTCTGTTCTTGAAGGTTGGTGTGACCTCCTTCCTCTCCGGCTCCCCTCAGTCTCTCTCCCGTGTTCCTGAGTTCTCCTTCTCTCACCATCTGCCCGTTTGACGAGCCGTCTGGGCTAATTAATTTTCCGGACTTCTCATGCCTCATACTCCGCTTTGATGTCATAAACTTGGGGTTTATTTCTGTTGCTTGTTATACAGACAAAATCCTACTTTTTTGCTGAGCTGAACTTTAGCTCTGTTCCCAGGAGAAA